ACCTCGGGCCGGCAGCAGCTTTCACACTCCTGGCCTCCAAGGCCAGCTGTTCCCTGGGCCGTTCCATGAGCATGTCCTACTGTGAGCCCAACCCCAGGACTGCTGCATTCAAGAGCAGATCGGGATTGTGCCAGCAAGGACAGGAGACTGGCTCTTCGGGGGCCGGTTCCACAGGTGGCCACTGGGCAAAAGGTGCCTGAGATCCTGCCCCTCTGCAGGGCTGTGCCCTTCCCAGGGCCTCCTCTTGGCTTACACACTATTCACACAGCTCATTTTCCCTCTGGAAATCTCACAAGAGAGGGAACACATTCCCACACTCAGAGGAGGGGTCACAGAAACGCATTTCCAAGCCGTTCTGAGCATCAGCAGCTCAAAGGGGTTTTTCATCTTAAATGACTTTATTTGGTGTCAAAGACAAAAACATTATTATTCACTCTGGCTTTAATGAAAGAATGTCTCTTTTTTAAAATACAGTTATTTAAGTTCAATAACTCTATTCAGGATCTTGATGTCCTTTTAAACCCCGCCTCCCTCAGCCCTCCTTCAGGACCCTGTCAAAGGCTCCTGGTGATCTGTAATCTGCTAGTCTGTATTTTAATATCTGCAGCTGTGAAGCTGAGAAACGCCCTCAGTTGGCATTAGTGAAAGTCGGCTTCCAGGGGGGATGAAGTTTCCCCACAGCGTGATTTTAGGTTAAAGAGCAAAATAAACAAAGTGAGGATTTTGAGAGTTTCCTTTTGGGACCATGAAACCTCCCTGTGGACATGACCTTTGTGCACAGGTACAGAGATGCTGATAATAACTAATACACGTCTCCGGGTCTCCATCCTTCTTTTGTGTCCCTCAAAGAGATGCAAAAGTGAACAGCTCAGTGGTGGCTTCTTACCGTTCCTCGAAGCATCTCTGCAAGGGCAGGTGACAGCACCCCTCCCTGGCTCTCCTCTGCCCTTTCCCTACAACCCTTCTGCACTTCGCTTTGTGTTCTCAGACCTGGGAGTTGACTGACTCTCTCCAACCAAACTCCCATGGCCACCCAGCTGGTTTTAGTTGCCCTCAGGAGGTGACTGAACCTGTCAGTCGCCTGCATTTGACCCTTTCATCCAGACTAAGGTGCACGGTAGATGACCAATGAGTTCCCCAAAGACCTCTGAGTCCTGATCCCTAATGCCCCTGAAGGCCCATGTCTGTGCCTGTGACTGTGAATGTTTTGCAGATGTGATTAAGGGCTCTGAGACAGGAAGATTGTCCTACATAATCTGGGTGGGCCTAAGCATAACCAATGTCCTCATGAGAGGGAGGTGACGTGATCATGGAGGCAGAGCTTGGAGTGATGGGGACACAGGCCTCGGAACACCTGCAGAAGCCGGAAAGGCGAGGAGAGATTGCACCCTGGAGCTCCCAGAGGACCCGCCCTGCGGACACCATGACCCCAGACCAGTGGGGCTGACTGGGACTCTTGGCCATCAGAGCTGTAAGGAAGTGAATTCCTGTGGCTTAAAGCCATTAAACTTGTGGTGACTTTTTATTGCAGCTATGGGGAAGTGGTGTGGGAGAATGACAAAAGTCAGGTCTCCTGAATCACGCTGTTTGCTATTGTATAGGGCAGTCCTAGGACCAGGAATCCATGTGCAGTTTGTGGCAGAGTGAGGGACGGGTTTGTGAGTGGACGTTTTCCACCCACTCTGACTGGCCCTGCCTTGGTTTTCTAGTGTAAAACTTGGAACCCCAGGTCTCCCGGAGGAACTATACCCAAATCATTCTGAACAGGTTAGGGTTAGATAGTTTTGAAAGGTGTCCCAGGTGATCCCTTATTTTCCAACACCGACATCTGACAAATCAACCTCACTAAGCATCAGAATCCCACGAGAAGTTTTTTTCTGAAACGCCAAATCCATTGACATCCCTGGAGATTTCGATGGAGGAAATTTGGGAGGAGCCTGCGCCTTTGCATTTTTAAACAGTTCCCTTGGCGATTGCTATCGTTGGGATTTTAAATGCCCCTGAAGGCCCTAGTCTTAAAGGCCTGGTCCCCAGGCGGTCTTTTAGAGGCAGGGTCCAGCAGGAGGGCTTCAGGCCATGGGGCATGCTGTGTAAGGGGACTGTGAGACCAGGGGCCTTCCTCCTGCTCTGTGTGCTTACTCAGCCTGGGGTAAGTGGTCCTGCTGCGCTGTGTTCTCAGGACACGCTGCCTTGCCCCAGGCCCAGGTGGACAGATGGTGGACCACAACCTCCAAAATGTGAACCAAAATAAACCTTTTCTCTTTAGAAGTTGATTGTCCTGGGTGTCATTCTAGTAACAGAGAGCTGACCAGCACAGTGATCTCCTGGCCAGTGGTCTAGGGAGGTTCTGAGGTGCATGCCCAGCGCCCCAGAGGCTTTCTCCCCTGCGGGAGCCAGGACCCGGCTGTTTTCATAGTGACTTTACATGCCTGACACTGGTACAGACTGACTAATATTTAATAATCTTAATCTGGGGATGCAGCTCAGTGGTAGGAGGCTTGCCAAGCATTCACGAAGCCCTGGGGCAGAAGGAAGGAAGCTTTTCATTTGTTTATGATCCCCCTATCTCTAGTGCTCAAGAAATATTGTCTAAATTATGCCTATCTTGCCTTTCCCTCAAGGCAGAATTTCACAATTGATTCCAGAGCAGGGTAACAGCTGTGGCAAAGAGACACACATCAGTCACCTCACTATGGTGGCGTCATGGGCCAAGCCTCTGGGAGGGAGCAGGGGACCTGGAGAGTCGTCTAGAGGAGATAGGAAGGGCCTTGGGGGGAAAGGGGCCATCTGCCTGGTGGAGGAGCTGGGGAGAAGTGCCGGCCCCCAGACCCCAGTAGATGGTCTACTTTTATCCACTGCAGTCCCCCACTTGAGTCAGTGAAGCCATGGAGAGGGTTCAGGTAGAGCTGACGGTGACCGTCCAGCGCCTGCCATCCGTGTTGCTGTGCGGTGATCTCCGCTGGAACCCCGCAGGCGCAGGCCGCAGAGCGGACCTGGAGCTCCCCATGGACTCCCTCGCCTGCTCCTGCACCTGCTCCCCCACTGTTTACTTGCACCTCTAGTTTTTCGTTCCGAGCCCATTTCTTTGTTTAGTCCCCAATAAACCTTCTTTTATTGATTTCCATTTATAATTTCCAAGGAATTAGCAGCCTTAATGTCAATTTCAATTTCCAAAGTTGGTAGCGATTGAGAAAAGTGCTTTCCTCGGGTCGATACTTCTCCTGACTTGATTTGGAGCTGTTAACAATGACCTGCGTATGATTTCATTGGGAAGAGTAGCAGGGACCAACAGAGGGCAATCTGTGGATATGAACCTGCTGTTTCTCCCTGACACAGGTCTTTATGGAAAGGCCGAGTGCTCAGCGTCAGAAGGTGGCCCTTCCATACTGCGTCCCCACTGGCCACTAAGCTCATTGTCACATCACCAGCAGCCAGCCCCAGTGGGCAGGAGGCACTTCAAGGACTCGTTCTGCTGACCACGTATCGACACTCACTTCCCTCTCGCTGATCTCAAATCGACACTCTGCTGCCCATTTCAGCAGTTTTCTCAGCATTATAAGCAGTTCACTGTCACTAGTCGACTTATTGGGGTCCCCTGTCTTAGGGGGGTTGTGCTCCCAACAGGGCAGCCAGTCACTCCCTGCACTGCTGCCCTCTGACCCTGGGAGGAGCCTTCTCCATCCTACATTGCTCCCAAGACCCCAGCCCCTGCCTCAGGGCCAGCACAGCAGAGGATGGGGGAGGTGTTGGCAGAATGAGGTTGTCCTGAAGGGTTAGAACAATGAGAGGGGGTTTAAGGGAGAAGACAAAGACTGTGCACAGTGCAGAGCAGAACGGCCTCCAGGTCCAGGAAGAAGGCTCTAGGGAAAGGCAAGACCCTGCCAGCTCCCACTCTCCTGGAGACAGCCTCGCCTCCTCAGCACCTGGGACTGTCCCCAGAGCACGCCCCGGGGTGCCGAGCACTCTGGGCTGTGCGGGCTCACCCCAGCAAGGCCCCTCGCCCCCTCCCCAGCCTGTCTCTTTCCATCCAGCTGGCACTGCCCGGTAGAACATTTACACACACGCACACGCACACACACTCCCAGTTCAACCAACAGAGTCAAAAACCTGGAAGGTGCAAACCCTGTCCTAGGACTCCACACCTCAAGACCAGGAGTACCTGTGTCAGGCCCGAGTGCCATCCACCTTGGCCACTGTGGAAGTTTTCACCCACCACAACCACCCAAACCCTTCAGATTATGTCCCTTTGAACCAGCCAGGAGTAAGGAATAGGATCATTTCTGAGCCATCTGGCAGCTTCATTAACCTCACAAAGACTTGAGTAAAGGCCTAGGAGACAGCACCCCTGCCCCCCCTGCAGCTGGAGGCCAAGGAGAGGGGTGGAAAATCAGGGGATGAAACGAGATTGTTCCTTCACTTACACTAGGGCTCTACCCCAGTCGCCCACCCCTGCTCTCCCTGCCAGGAACACTGAGTGTTCTGCAAGCTTCTGGGCTGATTGGCTCCAGCACTGCTTTATGAAGACGTGGCACCCAGCTGCAAAACCTCTCTATGTCATCTATACTTTTGGCTCCTCTATGGAGGTTGTGTCTCAAAAGTAGTACCATCTGACTTTTTCTTTGCAGAATAGCCTCAGTGTGAGTTTTTTTTTTTTTTTAGAGAGAGAGAGAATTTTAATATTTTTTTTAGTTTTTGGTGGACACAACATCTTTGTTTGTATGTGGTGCTGAGGATCGAACCTGGGCTGCACGCATGCCAGGGGAGCGCGCTACCACTTGAGCCACATCCCCAGCCCGAGCTTTTTTCTTTTTTTTTTTCAAGAAAATACTACCATCGTATAGCTAGACGATTGATAGATGGTTGATTTATTCATTGATTGATGGTGAATAGAGAGAGACGATAGGAAGGTGGATGGGTGGTGATGAGTCAGTCTGTTGATAGATGGCTTAATGACAGTCACTCTCTCCGAAACTAACACCTTCCAGCTGTTCTCTTTGCAGGCACCTGAGCCTTGCAGCCATCTGAGAGTTGAAGATGGGCCTCCTGCTTTCATCTTCAGACTCTGCTGTTCCATCACACTGGGAGGAGATGCTGCATTGACAACTTCATCTGGGACCTCAGACCCACGTGTTCCAAGGAAAGTCCACCGGAGAATGTGATGAGCCCACGTGGACCCTTGGAAGCAGCAGCAGGAACAGCTGTCTTCTGAGGCCCCTGCCAAGGGGCCTGAGATTCATGCACCAGAGACCTAAAGTAGAGATTTCTCACCCACCCTGCCGTGAACCTTCCAAGTCACCATATGGCGCTTCCTGTTCTCCTGTGAGCCCCTCCCATGATGGTCCCTGGTGGGGAGGCCACAGCCCTAGGAAGGTTTGAGAACAGAGTCGTAGAATGGATCCAAGAACAAACGGTATGGCCAAGACACAGATGTGCTCCTGCACCCTTCCAGCAGACCCTCACACCAGCCCAGGCTGGACCCAAAAGGCCTGAGCAGTCCTCTTCTCTTTCGAGGGGGGTTTAGGATAGATGGCTCTGTCAGAGTCTTTCTCACGGTTTGGGAATAAACATACTTTCTCAGTACCCTCAAGCAGGAAAATCTAAAGCAAGCAATGCAAAAGCAAGTATCAAAGACTCCAACAATACTTCCTGATGAACAACTTCCACGAATTTTTCAGACCTGCTTTCTTTGCCTGATATATCTGAGTTTTCTGCCTGAGGGTGAAAAAGCTGTCACCAATGCAGTGTCCTTGATCAATTACCCTGCAACAGAAACCACAAAACCACAAGCTCACCCCATCCTGGAGAAAGGAAGGGAACATGTCACCATTTCTACTTATATTAGGATATGGTTCCACATATCTTTGTTACCTGCTTGAACCTCCCTTAAGAAGGAAAAGAAGGAGATCATTTGCCTCAGAAACTGCTAAATGTAAGGAAAAGGCCCTATCAGTGGTCAAATTCCATCCAGATGACATACTTGGCCCAGTGGTGCCTTGAATTTTAAAGCATTTCAGAAGGAGCAGCAGTTCACATAATAGTTTTCTCTCTGGCTGTGGGTGTAGCATGCCCTAGAAGCCGTGTTGGTGCAGGGTCACACTGGGGAGTCCCTGGAACCATGCAGTCGGCCCCTCACGTGAGAGCAGATCCCTCTGCCCTCCCGCAGGGCTGGGGAACACATCTTCTGAGCATGGCAGGGCAGCTTGGCTTTCCAGACTCAGGACAGTTCACACCAAGCATGGGGCAAAAATAACCTCGATTTTTATAGTCTAGTATTTTTTTTCCAAAGCCTTGGCCCATAATCTTATTAAATGTAACGGTTCAAAATAAGTTTCTCTGGGAAACTTTGAAAACTAGGCAGCAAGAAAGCCACCGACGAAGTCTGACATGGTTCCTCTGCTGACCCCCTGGAAGTCGATGTTCCCAGTCCCCCTCTCCAGGAAGGGATGTTTCCTTGATCTCTCTGCCTGAATGAGGACAGACAGCCACACTTAGCTTGTTGGAAACTCAGCGAGCTCCTGAGTCTCTGTGAACGACGACCCACCTGTTGTCTCAGTCCGCAGACGGCCTCTGCTCTGGGCAGAAGATGTGGCAGATCATGGCAGAAGAGTATGGCGGGGGAAAGTGGCTCAGAACAGAGCACTGGGTAGGGGAGACAGAGAGAGAAACTCTCCTCGCCACGGACAAGATATATACCCGTAAGACAGCTCCCAGTGGCCCACCTCCGCCAGCTGTTACCGCTGTTTACCGGTGACGAGTCCTTGCTTCCCCGAATGCTGAAGTATAACACCAGAGAAGCAGCAGAGGCAAGGGTAGAGTGGACAGTGGAAGCTTTATTAAAGGACAGCAGAAGAGACTTCTCCCCGGAGGAAGAAGGGGGCCCGGAAGGCGGAATCCGTGGAAGGGGGAGTCTTCCCTGTTTTATAGCTAAGATCTTCCTTCAGCTTGCCCACCCTCCTGACCTTTGTTTCCCGTTATCCTGAGTGATAGAATGCAGGTGGGAAGGCCCAAAGGTGGGAGGGAGAAGGGCTGGAGGAGTAATCTGGGCAGGAAGGGCCTGTTTGCTGGGAGCTGCTTCATTAACAGTTCCTTAGGATGGGCTCCGGGCCTTGGGGACGTTAACATTTCAATTTCCCCAAATGCTACTCTGGTTTCCTGGACTCCTGCCATTCTCTATAACGGCCTCCATTTTCTTTTTCTTACTGGATATTAGACCTGATTTACCTAACTGCACTAACTACCTATCTGTAAATCTGGCTTCACAGCCACACCCTATCTGCCTAGAGTTACCACCCAGTTAATCCCTGTCAGGGTAAGGATTAATTCACTGATTTAAGGCTCTCATTACCCAGTCATTTCTCCTCTGAACCTTCTTGCATTGTCTCACACATGAGGGAAACCGTAACACGGCCTTTGCCCGGGCTGTGTCCCTGTAGACAGCCCTCTGACAGCCCTGCCCATTCCACCCCTGCATGTCCAGCATGCCACCCACCTGGCCCTCCTTCTCCAGAGCACTCTCCAGGCTTTAACATGCGTCCGTCACTATGCCAACACGGTTCTCACTCTTGGTCATTTATTATCCTCCTCCCTGGCCTCTCTGACCCCAGTGTCTGTTCCTTATGGTGGAGGGTTTTTGTGTGTCCTTCTCACTGACCTATCCCCAGGTGATGAGCACACTAGGTATTCAATTACATGTTGGGTGAACAAAGTTTTGAGGAGGGACATCAGAGCATCAGGTTTACACTTAAAACCACTTACTCTGGCTGTGACCACAGCCCTGGACTTTCCCACTGAAGGGTCAGTTTGTGGAGGCTGGTGACAAAGCTGCCACCTCAGTCCAGATGTGACAGCAGGGCTGGGTCAGGTGTGTGGAGGCGAACAACGGCAGGCAGATTGGGCCACTCCAGGTTCGGGTAGAAACTCCAGCAGGGCAGGAGAGTGGTAAGGACACCTTGGCCAGTGCTGGTGGCAGACAGAAGCAAGACAGATGCGAGCTGAGCCCCACTGTGGGCTTGGGCCATGTTGCTGGCCTCAGCAGGCTGGCGTCCAGCATAGACTTAGGCAATGCCAGCATTTTTTTTTTTTTTTTTGGCCACTGGTTGTGGTTCTCAAAGCAGATTCCTTTTGTCTCACCATGGATAGAAAATCTCCAGCGACTCAATCGACTGAGAAGTCTGATGTCCCAGGCTGCTGCCCACAGCTGACCAGGAGTGAGAAAGCATCCCGTCCAGTAGCCCAGGAGCGCAGGCTGCATTCCTGCCCTTCCTCCAGGTGACCAGAGCACTGCTGGTGTCCAGGGACATGTCATCCTACTGAAGAGGAGAACTGGGCCTTTCTCCTCCCAAGAGGCTGCACAGGTACTTGGTTATGAAAAGCAGAATGTGTTGATTTCTTCCAGGCTATCAGTTGCTCTCGGTGGAGACGTTGCTTTGGTAACTGCTCCGTCTTGGGATTTCCCAGCCACCACTGGTGAATTAGAGCCACACTCTCACAACTCAGGTGAGCTAGATCCTATTAACGGGCCTGTCTTCTCGCCCCTCCCTAGCTGTGGTAGCCAGAACCTCTTGTCCCGACGTTTGTGAATGTGGGAGAGTTGGTTTCCTTTCCGACACAGTTCTGACTCACCGGGGCCCTACCCCCTCCGCCCCAGTTCTTCCACACGGTATCTGAGCGCAGTGGCCGTCTGCAGCGGGGTCTCCACTGTGTACCCCAACTCCACTCTCACAACTGCACCCCATTAGTCTTGCATGTCAAGGTGTCAGCCCACCCTCTCCCTCCCTGTGCCTGTCTAGAATCCTCTGTCACTCCCACTTGGAGTGAGGGAGCTTTGCTGTCCAGAGGGACAAGCTGGTCCCACCCCCGTCCACCACAGTGTCTGTGCTCCCGGGTACCAGCGGATCCCACTGAAGTCTCTGAAAGCCTCCTCTGCAGCTGCTGGCCATGGGCTTTGTTCTCTGCTGTGAGCCTCCTATGGCCACAGCCCATTGCTGGTCTGGCGCCCTGAGCAGGCGGGCCAGGTGCGTACCTGTGGGAGTTCTCTGGGCCCCTCCATCCTGGCCAGGGCAGAGCTGAAGACCACAGAGGCTGGGCAGGCGCGTGGCTGTGAGAGAAATTTTGAGCCTTCAAAAGGCAGGAGGGAGGCACCTAGAACCCCCGCCTCTCTGGGTCAGGACTCAGAACGGAACCTAGCTAGTTAGGAGCCCTGGGCCTTCTTCCTGCCATCTGGTGAGCCTGGGGAGCAGCACTGCACAGCAGAGGGACTGTCCTGGTGGTGGTGACGATGACTGTGACCCCGCCAGTCACGCCTCTTAGGCCTGGCACTCTCTCCTTTGTGATGGTGATTGCAAGTGTGTTTGATGTGTTTATGTGTGGGCATGTGCTGTGTGTGTGTATGCGTGGGCATGTGCTATGTGTGTGCACATGTGTGGCCATGTGCTGTGTGTGTGTATGTGTGGGCATGTGCTGTGTGTGTGTATGTGTGGGCATGTGCTATGTGTGTGCACATGTGTGGGCATGTGCTGTGTGTGCGTATGTGTGGGCATGTGCTATGTGTGTGCACATGTGTGGGCATGTGCTATGTGTGTGCACATGTGTGGGCATGTGCTGTGTGTGTGTATGTGTGGGCATGTGCTGTGTGTGTGCATATGTGTGGGCATGTGCTGTGTGTGTGTATGTGTGGGCATGTGCTGTGTCTGTGTCTGTGTGGGCACGTGCTATGTGTGTGCACATGTGTGGGCATGTGCTGTGTCTGTGTCTGTGTGGGCATGTGCTATGTGTGTGCACATGTGTGGCCATGTGCTGTGTGTGTGTATGTGTGGGCATGTGCTGTGTCTGTGTCTGTGTGGGCACGTGCTATGTGTGTGCACATGTGTGGGCATGTGCTGTGTCTCTGTCTGTGTGGGCATGTGCTATGTGTGTGCACATGTGTGGCCATGTGCTGTGTGTGTGTATGTGTGGGCATGTGCTGTGTCTGTGTCTGTGTGGGCATGTGCTATGTGTGTGCACATGTGTGGGCATGTGCTGTGTGTGCGTATGTGTGGGCATGTGCTATGTGTGTGCACATGTGTGGGCATGTGCTGTGTGTGTGTATGTGTGGGCATGTGCTATGTGTGTGCACATGTGTGGCCATGTGCTGTGTGTGTGTATGTGTGGGCATGTGCTGTGTCTGTGTCTGTGTGGGCATGTGCTATGTGTGTGCACATGTGTGGGCATGTGCTGTGTGTGCGTATGTGTGGGCATGTGCTATGTGTGTGCACATGTGTGGGCATGTGCTGTGTGTGTGTATGTGTGGGCATGTGCTGTGTCTGTGTCTGTGTGGGCATGTGCTGTGTGTGTGCACATGTGTGGGTATGTGCTGTGTGTGTGTATGTGTGGGCATGTGCTATGTGTGTGCACATGTGTGGGCATATGCTGTGTGTGTATGTGTGGGCATGTGCTGTGAGTGTGAATGTGGGTGTGAGTGTGTACTGAGACTTTATGTGTGAGTGCACCTGTGTGTATGTGTCTGTGTGTGCACGTGTCTCTATGTGTGGGTGTGTGCGGTGTGAGTGTATGTGTGTGAGCAGGACTGAACACATGTGAGTGTGAGTGTGTGTGTGAGTGTGAATGTGTAAGGCAGGTCTTTGGTCTGACCTCTGCTCACTGTTTATGACACCCTCGCAGCTTGGATGTTAGCAGTCAGGTGTCTTCTGTTACCGCCCAAGCTCACCGACATGGCTCTCACGATGGTGTCTCACTGAATATGCTTCTGTCCTGGGTGGAACCCCCTCCCCGTCTCAGGGAAGACTCCTCCAGTGCACCCCATCCTTGGTGAAGTGGTAAATTTTAAGTCACGTGTATTTTGCTCCAAGCAGAAGGAAACATGTCGCGTTGCCCTTACTCTCCAAGCACAGCTAAAGCATTCCTGCCCCTTTTCAACCGTTGCTATGGAAATTGACCCTTGTGTGAAACCTCGTGGGCAATGTACCCCACACACAAAGTGCCGCAGAGGAGTGCTGGCCAACTCAGGCAGTCACAAGTTGCTCCTAGACGCCGCACCACTGGCCCTCCTGAACTGCAGGCCACGCAGGGGCACTCTGGAGACTCCACAGAAAGGAGGCCCTGGAGGCCCCCGATGCCCTCGCTGCTGTCAGCAGCCCCCACCCCAGCAGTGCTGAGCGCCTGGCGTCCCTCCCACATGGAGGGTTGTGCCTCAGGAGGTCGCAAGGACCTCAAGGACACACACCCTGGTCTCAGCAGACAGCTGGGCCACTGTGGTCCGCGGAGAAAAATGGCGAAATTCGAGATTCAGCAGGAGGAGGCCAGAAGGAGACGGGAGCGTTGATGAAGAGCACCCACGTGAGGACTCGGCAGCCCGCACCCGACCACTCGCCTGTTTCATCTCCTGTCTTCAAAGAGGCGCCAGGACGTGGGAGAGGATGAAAGGGAAAGCGATGAAAGAAAATGGCACCACAGAGGCTTGAAGGGCTGAGACGGCGGAGGGGAGGCTGGGAGCCGGCTGGTGGCAGCCTGCAAGTCAGCTGCTCCCGTCTCAGGGACCCCACGCTCTCCTCCGCGCTCTGGAAGACATGGCTCTAAAGAAGGGGGTGTGGCCCTGATCCGGGTCTTCCCAGTGCACAAGCAGCTCTAGAGTCCCCATCTCTGCACCTGCTGGGAATCAGGGGCAGACAGGAGCGTGCAGGGCCCAGCCTCCCTCCTCACTCCTGGGCACTCAGACAAAAAGGCCTGTGTGTGTCCAAAGGGACAGGTGAAGGCCCACGAGGGCCCCTGAGCTGTGGACATGGTCCTGCACCATCATGGAGATGCGGGTTTAGCTGTGACAGCTTGTGAATGGGCTGGAGTTCCCCTTGGCCCAGACCAGGGAGTCCCAGAGGAAACCTATGCAGCTGTTCCCTGATCTCCCGCCTCCTGCGGAGTCTTGTTTGCTCCCTGCAGGACATTTGCACACTCTTTTCACACTGAGGCCAGGGAAGGTCTAAAGTCACAAGAGCTGGTTCCCAGACCAGGCTTCTGGCTCCAAGTTCCAGAACCTTCCACAAGTACACACTGACTGTTCCTCATCAGTTCAGTCCATCTGTCCTGACACGGCAGTGAGTCCAGCTGGGGCTGAGGAGTGAAGACAGTTTAAGGTGACTCAGAGAAACTCACTCCTCAGTGAAGACCTGTCCAGACGACAAACGGCTTTGGAACAACTTAGACGTGGAGGTGTGGGTATTCTCGGGGGCCTTTCTCCTGCAAGTCCCAGTGTGGTCTTCTACCATTGTGTGGAAATATGACGAGTGGTCACCTTGCATCCTGTGCTTTTGGGGTACACTTTTCAAGTTTCTGTGTTCAAACATTTTGAAAATCAGAAGTGATCACGTGTCCTGAGTTTCAGTTTGAAAGCCACAGTGTGCAATAGTCACTTCCCTCAGATTTCTACTGTGGAAAACAAAGCACATAGCCCTCAAGGTCAGGGACAAAAGCAAAGGCCCCCACCCAGACCCTGACCACAGCTGAGGGCCACATACCTCTCCCTCCTGCTCAGACAGCCCTGGCTCAAACGTCCTTGAGACACCTCCACAGGTTCAAGACTGAGCAGGGAAGTGGACCCCCATAGGCCAGAGCGTGTAGAAGCCAATGCTGAGCCAAGTGTCCCCAGACCTCGAGGCAGAGACTACAGCAGGTGCTAGTGCTGCATCTTCAGGAAGCACCGGGGCCAGGGTGGCCAAACTAGAAGATGGTAGAAGAGAGAAATTCCTAGAGTGGGGCTGAGGGCCTTCCTCCAAGCAAACCCCTCCGTCCCCAGGGTGCAGCTGGCTCTGTTCTACAGGGCCAGTGACACTTATGACAAGCCCCTGCTGCCACCTCCCTCAGGAGAAGCCACCGGCTGTCCAAGGCCAAGACAGCATGGCACCCCTCCTGTCTCCCTGGGTTTCTGTGACTGCACAGCAGGCATCCTGTACTGCTGAACCCCTGTGCTGGGGCAGGAGGCACTGCCAGGGTCCCAACAGGCCCTGTGCATCACAAGACCTGGGCCCCAGGTTCTGCTCCCTCGGGTGTTGGCTGAGGGTCCTCCTGCTTCAGATGCAGCCATGTCTGGGTCCCCCTCAGTTGGGCTGCAGAAGGGGTGGACAGCAGGGCAGGGAGGGGGGAACAGTTTACCCCCTGAACAACTCCTGCACCTCCAGATACTCAAAGAACAGCTTCTGAATCAAGTTTAAAAACAGCTGCTCTTCTGATGATTTAAGTGATGTCCTGAGTATTTGCCTTGAGTGCACAGAGGGCCTGGGTGGGCTGGGACTTTGCCCAGGCAGGACCCTGGGAGACAAGGCTGCTGCACTCCCAGGAGGAGGTGTGCTTTACCTCTCATCTCATGTGAGGAGAATCCAGGAGGTTTGGCAATGTTGGCAGTGTCTGTAAATGTTTGCAACATCATGTGACAAGGCCAGTTCAGGTGTCTACAAACTGCTGTGGCCCGAGCCCCCTGTGATTGCCATGCAGAACCTCGTTAATCCTGCCACAGGTTGAGATGTGTCCTCTGTAAGCCAACCAGACATACAACCTGGAGTTGTTTCTATCATCAGAAGATCATTTTAACTATAATCCATCAGGATACATTTTGAAAACTGGCCTCTGATGAAGGATTGGATGGTAATGCAGTGCCTGCTTTGATCTGGATAAAATTTAACTTGCCTTAATAATCTTTTTCAATTCCCATCAATGTTTCTCTGAGAATGTTCTGTCTACTGTGAGTGTTGTTGAAACATAAAACAGAATTCACTGAGGCTGACATTTCCCCCTCTGCTCAACTGGGCCAAGAAGCATCTCATTTGTTGCATTAAAAATATTAAAAATGGTTTCAATATGCATTTCCCTGATTGCTAGAAATATTGAACATTTTTTAGTGTATTTGTTGGCCAATTATATTTCTTCTTTTCAGAAGTATCTGTTTAGTTTTTTCACCCACTTATTAATTGAGTTATTTGGATTTTTTTGGTGTCAAGTTTTTTGAGTTCATCTCACTCCCGTCAGAATGGCAATTTTGAAGAATACAAATGATAATAAATGCTGAGAAGGATATGGAGGGAAAGGCACACTCATCCATTGTTGGTGGGACTGCAAATTAGTGCAACCACTCTGGAAAGCAGTATGCAGATTTCTCAAAAAACTAGGAATGGAACCACCATCTGGTGGTTGATCCAGCTATTCCATTCCTTTCCTTGGTATTGATCCAAAAGATCTCAAATCAGCACCCCTTAGGGCCGCAGCCACATCAATGTTTATAACAGCACAATTCACAACGTCCAGCTATGGAACCTACTGAGGTGCTCTTCAACAGGAAAACAATGAGGGGTTACTTGGCCATAGAGAAGAATGAAATTATGGCATTTGGGGGTAAATGGGTGGAACTGAAGACTATCATGCTAAGTGAAATAAGCCAGACTCAGAAAGTCAAAGGTTGAAGGTTTTCTCTGATTTTCAGAGAAGCTACCAAACCCATGGGGGGTGGGGAGGGGGACAGAAAGAGAGACAAGGAAAGGGGGGTGGATTCCATCAAAGTAGAAGAAAGATCAATGAACTAGATGAAGAGGATTGAGGGGGAGGGAGAGGGGACGGGAGAAGGGAAGAACAGCAGAATCAATCTGACCTGACTGTCCTAAGTACATACAGGAATATCCCACAGTGAACCTCACCTCACGTACACCCACACCGACTATTAGATAAATGCAAAAACTAAAAATAAATAGCAGAAAGCTCAGTAGAGCAAAGGTAAGGGAGCAGGGGGAGGGAAGGGGGAGGAACTGGGAGGGACCAAATTGGGACACCTTATATGCTTCTATAATGGTGTCAAAATGATTATATATATATATAATATAATGTTATGTGAAACTAAAAAACACCAAATATGTAAATAAACAAACAAATAAATAAATAACTACAATTATTAAGGATGGGGCTGTAGCTCAGTGGCAGAGCCTTGCCAAGCATGAGCAAGGCCCTTGGATTCAATCCCCAGCACCAGCACACTACAGCAATTAAGTACCGATACACAGTGCTTTTATTGTATTATATAAAAAAATCTAAACAAGCCTGAACTTCAGCATGGATTGTTTAAGAGCCACTGTCCCACATGGGATTCTCCAGGCAGGGAGGGAAAGTGCATGTCATCAGGTAGCCATCCTAAGAGGAAGGAGATAAAATGGCCCCTTGCAGCAAGAAAACCACGGTTGTGGTGGGTGATCAACCCTGCACAGTCTCCAGGGCAAACAAAAGCATTCATTTCCATTTTGGTTGAAACGAAAACTGACTTTCCCTCCCTGGCAGCTTGGTTGCCTGGCCAGGGGGCCCAGAGCCCCTGAGGAGGGGCTGCAAGATTCCCAGGAGGAGCTCAGTCTCAGGCCCCAAGGGCGCAGGTGGCAAAGCCCCTCCTGCCTCCCCCACCCCCCATCTCAACCTGCCCTCCTGGGTCCCTTCCCAGGTGAAAACCTGCCCAGCAGAGAAGCAGCAGCAACAGGGCAGGGGCAGGGGTCTCACCCAGCACCAGGCCCAGCCTGTGAGAATCTGCCAACTTGGGTCTCAGCGCACTTCTGCCACAAGAGAGACAGAGATGCTGCTGACAAGAAGTGCAAAGTGGGTCCTCAGGCACAGGACTGGGGGGCTGTGTCCTCCTGTGTGTCAGCTGGCATCATCCCATACGCTGCAGGGAGGGATGGGGGTGGGAAGCGCAGGTCACTGGGGCCTCCACATGAGTCTCCAGGACCTCAGAATTGGGGCTGGCAGGGCTTCCGAGATCCCAGTTCCTTGTGTCACATCTCAGAGTGAGCTGGTGCCGACAAGGTACACAGAGAGACGCGCCCCAGAGGACCTGGAGAAGGCAGGCTCCCTCGTGTAGATCAGGAAGGGGTTGGGGGTTAGGAACAGAGAGATTGTTGGAAATTTTCCAATTTATGCATTTTTGAAACTTCAGATTTTGTCCTTTTCCATTTGTAAACCCCAACATCCCCTCCTCATGCCTTCTGGGCCGCGTATTTCTCTACTCTGCTTCCACGTGACATGTGGTTCTGGTGGTTCACTGGGGACGCACAGGTCCCAGCTCAGAGTGGAAGTGAAGTCCCTGTGGCTCCCCGTGGCTCTTCAGCCTCCCCGGAAGCAAGCGGAGCGGTCTGCTTCCTGTGGCTTCTGTCCGCTGCAGGAAAGCGCCACTCGGAAGAGCACATCCCACCAAAGAAGGCTCTGGTGCCTGTGGCGTGGTCCCCTCAGTCACAGGAGGAGCGGGTCTCCCCCCACCCACAGTCATGCCCACCCCAGCACCTGGTCCACTTAAATTCTCTCGGGTGAAAAGACAACACTGTGTTCAGCAAACCACAGCTCCCTGCTTCTAGGAAAGCTTCCCCAGAGGACAGGCTAGAGAAACTAGATCCCCACGCCCCACATGTCCACCTGCTCACACTCCCCTGCTGACACACACATGCACACTCATGCATGCACTCGTGCCTGTGGTCACACCCATTCATGTGCATGTGTTCACACACACAGACTCCCTCGGGTGCACACGCTCACACCTGTAGACGAACACTGGTGCAGGTGCACACTCATATTCATGTGTGCACACAGAGGCATACTCAAACTCCACCACAGAGCAGTCACCTGTGCACAGCCATGCACACTCACACACACTCACACAGATGCAAGCACACACACACACATTAACATGCTTGCCTGCACACAGTCACGTGTACACACATTCATACTGCTCTTCATGGACACATGAGCACACGCTGGTATATACATACATGTCCACACACCTGTGCACACCCATGCTCACTTGCATACTCACCTGTGTGCACACACTTGTGGTAATGGTTTAAAGGGAAGAGCAATCAGATCTTTTTTTTCTCTGATGACTGGACACAGTGCTTTCTACAGAATGTTGCACATGGGGCTTGTGTTTTCTGAGAGTCCCCCCAAAGGAAAATGCCCTGTGCCTCCTCTGTCATTTCAGGGTGTGACAGAGGGGTCAGGACCAACAAAAATCATCAAGCTGGAGTGGAGCATGGGGACGCTTGTTCCAGCAGCTGAAGTGAAACTCAACAGCACCAGCAACTGCACAGGTCAGACTTCACGGTACCTTAGAGATAACCCATTTGCATAGTGAACATGTCTCATCATTAGAGCAACTGCACAAAAAGTCACTCCAGGTCACTTCTCTGCCGTGCGCATGCTGAAGGCCTGAGTGTCTACTTCTCTGCCTCCTGCAGCTCCTTCAGCAGGGCTTGAAGGAGCCTGCGAAGCTTCCAGAACACGCTGGGGGCTGCTCTCCAGTTCCCAGTGGAGACTTCTAGGTCCGTGCATTCCTGTACAGCCTGCTGTAATTGCCACCGGAGCCGGAAGGAGACAGCAGAGCTCTTGAGAGTTGAGGGGAACCAGTGGCGAAATATTTTGTCACAGATTACCTGGGGAAAGAAGGGTGCGCAGTTAATTCAGGGCGGCAAGTCATCATTCAAAGCTTCCCAAGTCCCCAGTTGGTTCTCCAGCGGACCTTGGCTCTGCTCCTTCAGGGAGGGCCCTGCAGAGGCCACTGGACTCTTGGGAGGTGGGGGGCTTTCCCTTCTGCAGCTGAGACCACTCTGCACCCAGAAAAGCCCCACCTCAGAGAGCGGGAGCCTGGCTCCCTGTGCAGAGGGAAATCCATCCCCAGCCTGGAGCAGCGGAGAGGTTCTGGATGATGCTTCGTAGAGGACTGAACACATTTCCAAAGAGAAAGCGAGTAGAAGTCACCGACAGGGACAGTTCTTAGGAGTCAGTGGTTCTGTGGGTCTCAGCCAGCCGCCCTGCCCTGTCCCCACTCCACATGGGCTGTCCTGTCCACAAGTGGGACAGAGCAGCAATGATAACCACCCCAACGGGGCGTCCTGAGGGCCAGATGGAGCCCAGCGGAAGGCAGTACAGACATGTGCACTGTTCCACGCAGCCTCGGAGCCTGTGAAGAAGGAAGAGGCTACAGGCACTGGTATCTTTAAAGGAGCCTTCAAATTGCTTTATTTTAGGAGCAGAAGGAAAAATTAAGTTACTCTATAATGGTCTTTAATTCTAAAAGGCTATGAAATTCACTGATGCCCAAGAGATCTTGAAATTCTCAGTTCGAACGTGATCTGCTTACAGCTTTCACAGCCCCCCGTGGAGCCTGGCCTGGGCGCTGCACAGTTAACAGTGCTTTATCTCCCACATCACCCTTGGTGTTGGGATCATTCAGCTATTTTGCTATTTCATAGAAGACAAGTAATTTAACTTTCATTTTCCAGACCCTATAAAGGCAAGGATCACTTTTTTAAAAAGACAACTTTATTTCTTTTTTGAATCAAGAACACATTTTCATGTGCAGACTTTAAAGCGTCCTAAAGAAAACACCATAATCTCAGTCTCCAGCCAGCCCGGATTCTGGGCTCCCCGGAGAGGTGACTCCTATTCAAGCACTCTAGACAGAATCTAAGCCTGTAAACACATTGGCCCCATTTTCTTTTATGTTTGCACACATGCTACTCTGGGCAATATTGCAAGTTTGCATGCAGGGATTTGTTGGGAGTGTTCATGGGGACACATCTCTAGGGAACTGAGGAAGACCTACATAGTTGTCATTTATGGGGGCAAAGGGACTCAGCTTTGTATCTGTGCCCCCTTCTCCCACACTGACCAATTACTAGATGCTGCTGCCAGGAAGCAGGCACAACCCTGGAAAAGAAGTTCTGTGGATTTCCTGGTTGAGGGGTTGCATGATCTCTGGATAATTTTCCATCCATGCTCTACCCTTCTGGTCTGTGAGGAGAATTGCAAATATTTTTGCTTTGCTTATAGTTTTGGTGTGGCTTCTTTGCCCGTGGGGATTTTTTTTAAAGATAGCTAAATTTGTGCACTGTTCTTCCTTTGGCTTCTAAGCTGTGCTC